CAAATGCAGAAATCGAAGATCCCCACATCTCTCCAATGGTTCCCAAACTTGGTTTTACTCGGTCAAACCACCTAATATACAAGGGTTTTTGTGGGGAGGGCACATTCGGTATACTTTAGATACAATATTCGGAAAGTCAATTCGAACCTCAGACTGATGGATAGGAGCCTTACTCTCTGAAGAAAGATTGAGAGAAGAAGAAAATGATCCACCACAGTAGTGGATAGGACCACCAAATGCATGACTTACATTTTCAGCAATGTAAGGGATAAGTACCTGGGTCTCGGCGATCCTCTGGGAGGCTTCTTCCATCAAGGGAACCAGAGCAAATTTCCTCCCATTTATCTCTATTAGGTTAGAGGTCACCGAGGAGAGTGGTGGGGCGGAGAAATCAGAAGATTTTGAGGTTGTTGCCATTTCAGCCGGTAGAGGAGAGGAAGACGAAAGGTTGAAGATGAAGACGGGAAAACGAGGGAAAAGTGAGGTTTGTGGTAAAAAACAGGGGTAAAAATTTTAAAAGTATTTAAAGAAGTGGGTAGGGTATGCGAAATGACGAATTGGAAAGTAGGTAAAAGCGTAGCAGCAGAAGTGATGTAACAGGTAACATAAATGAAGAAACCCTAAAACCCCAGAAACCCTAAAACCCTAGAAACCCTAAAAATCCCAAGGAGTTATCTCGAGTTTTCAAGAACGATTAAGGGCGGGAGTCATATTTGGAAGAATATAAAAAATTGATATTCTTCTAGGGGGGCATTTGTTAGTAAAAGAAAAATCGATACCAGGATCGAAAGAACCAGAGAGAGAAAATCGAAAATCATATAGTTCATTAAAAAATTGATAAGACTGGTAAAAGACACCTGGTGACCACAAAGATAAAAACACATCGAGAATCAAAATCGAGAATCGAAGAAACAAATTCCGATGTCTATTGTTGAAGAGAATCGAGAAATTAGAATAGTGCAAAGTTAAGATTAAAGGGAATCTAAAGCAATTCAAAGTACTCGATGTCTGAAATCGAGATCGAGGGAACAGTTAACACCCACATAGAACATGGGAAGCGGTTTCTAAACTAAGGCTGACGAAGATCAAAGAGGCAGTTATCTCTTGCATGGGAACATGGAATGCAGTTTTTAAACCGTAACACTAAGAGACGTGCGTGATGGATCGTGGTGGCAGTTTTGTTAACTGCTCTTAGGAGGTTATCTGAAGGGTGCTCTATAAATAGAGCGAAGCTTGTGGAAGAACGGGGAAATTGGCGAGACAACGAAGCGCAAGTGAACAAGTACTGCAGAAGAACGATGCATCATGAAGTTTCTAATGCTCTGGATTTTCGTTTTCATTGATTGCCTTTATCGCTTTCTTTATTTTCCCTGGTAAATTTACTTTCATTGCAATTTGTGTTTATCGACTTTAAGTGTTTGCCTTTTTCAATTCCTTGCCAGTTATTGTTATGCAAAATTTACTTCTATGCAATGTTAAGGTTATAACGTTTAAGATTTTTGTCATTTACATTTCTGCAATTTCGATTTCCTGTTATTTATATTTTCACAATCTCGATTTCTTGCCATTTACACTTAATGCAAATTTGAGGTTTCCGTTTTTTACATTTCCCTGCAATTTAATATTCCGCACTGCTTTTCGATTCGACGCTTTCTTTACTTCGCATTTCTTAATAGAAAACATCAAAAAATAGTACTTTCTGTACCCTAAGTCATGCCGTTTTGCATTATAAGATTCTCGATTCTCATGCATTTTTTTGATTGAAAACTAGTTGCTAGCCTAAGTAAAAAGAATCTACATGGTTGAGATTTGATTAGAACTTAACTTCCGATAAATTGAAATCGATCAAATTTTGACGACAAGCACATTTTGAAAGGATATTGTTTTAAATTGGCTGTCGCGGACCCTAATCTATAACATACCAGCGAGCCCGTGGACTTCCATTTTGTCACATCTTAACGGTGTTGTTTTTATAGTGTGAGAACTTAAACTTCAGTCTCGATTTGAATGAAACAAATTCATTTCCTATGAGAGGCAATGCATACAGCCCAAAATAAATAACAACACTAATAATACATCATTAACATCTCTTTATTTGTTTTTATAATGTACTTGGGAGCACAAGATATAATAACAGAGATAGACAATTTAGTGAATGAACCCATAATTCCACTTTTCCCTGATAACGGCCACAGACTCTAATGGAATGAATAATTTATATTTTCTGTATTACGCTGTCCAACAAGATTTCGCCGCTAATTGTGATAGAAACTCTTTTTTTTTATGACTTCTAATAAATTTAATCAACAATAAATACTTAAAAAATGTTAAAAAATATATTATTAATCTTTATCTCTCGAACACTCTGTAATTTGCAATTTGTGAATACTAATTCACTACAATTATCTTTTACAACAACAAATGGCCAAATCCTCCATCAATCACAATTTCTCGTTCAAAACAACCAGAAGTTGAAAGCATAAGAAATTGAAGTAGTTGCAAGGCGTAAGTAAAATTAGTAAATCTATCTATACCATAAATCTTTACTGAGGAAGAGGAAAGGAGTATCCAATTACAACCTTAATCTGTGGAAAGAAACATCCTCGTCAATTTAATTACATCCAATTTAACTAATGTAGTAAGCAGTAGAAGGATGTGATCTGATATGGATCTTCAACATTGTTTACCTTGAAGAGTTTCTTGCATTCCTTGTACTCCTCTTGATAGACTCAATTCTCTGAAGCCTTATTTGCTCTCGAAACTTAGCAATGAACTCATCAGCCTTCTTATCCACATCTGGTCCTTCATCACCACTTGTTCCACTGAAACCTCCATCTGTTTTTGAACTTTCTCTACCGATCAGAGGTGGACCCTTCTCATTGTCGTCGTTCTGCACAATGATTCCTCCTCCTACAACATCTTCATCCTCGCTTTCCGTATCATCTTCATCATCATCATCGTCAGAGTCCACAAGTACCTTGTCAAGAAAGCTTTGTTTCTCAGCGGGCTGTGACACGAGAGGCACGCTTGCATGCCCCATGAACTTGTCACTTCTGAACGACGTGCGTTGTATGGATTGTTTTTCTGCATCAAGTGTTTTTCCCACTGGCATGTTTCTCTCAACTGTGAAGCTTCTCTTCAACTCCTTATCGAAGGAAGGTTCGTTGGATGAACCACCGTACCTTGGCTTCATGGACACTGATTTCTGAAACATCATTGGTGGGGGTGGTGGAGGTGGTGGAGGACAAGATTTGTAGAAGCCTTTCTTCCTCACTGAATCCTCTGCGTTTTTAGCAAGTGATTCTGATGAGAACGAAGGCACAGGAGACGAGGAATTTGCTCGGAAAGAACGTGAAGTTTGAGGCTTCGCTGCGCGAGATTCCACCTTAGAGAACTCAGATTCCTCCTTTGAAGATTGATGGGCAAAGGCATCATCAACTTCTTCTTGTTTAGGTTCCAATCTTCCTGATCTAGAACGCCATGGAATGGGAGAAGGAAGCACCGCGCTCTCTTTCCTTTTGTCCTCATCTCTTGCACCTTCAACTTCTGCATTTTTATTTGAATTGCTTGAAAATCTTTTAGAAGATGTTGACCTATTTGGAGATTGAACATCAACATCATCAGCTTCAACTTCTGCTGTTCTATTCGAGCTGCTCGAAAACCTTTTGGAACTCATCGACCTATTTAGAGATTGAACATCAATAGCACCAGTTTCAAATTCAGCACTTTTATTTGAATTGCTTGGAAATCTTTTGAAGTTTGTTGACCTATTCATAGATTGAACATCAACATCAACACCAGCACCTACGCCATCAGCTTCAACAACTTCTGCTATTCTATTCAAATTGCTTGAAAACCTTCTAGAACTCATTGACCTATTTAGAGATTGAACATCAACATCTTTATCATCATCGGACAAGCGAGACTTCAAGCTTCGGATAGGCAAAAGCAAAGGCTTGTCCCCACTCTGGTCATCAAAACTAGAAAGCTTTTTCAATTGTGGAGTAACCACAACCACAGGTTCGTTCCTGTAGTGTTTGTTGCTCCACGTGTGCACTTTGGTTTCATTGGAGTCAACCGGGTTTTCAGCCTCGTCCTCGAAGAAGGAAGAGACCTGAAGGAATTTAGAGACAAGAGTTTGAGCGGTGTCAAACTTTGAGTTGTTATTCTCTTTCTCTGTCTCGTGGTTTCGGCGACTGAAAAGGCCGTAGGAGATAGCGACACCGACAAAGAGAAGGTGGAGGAGTTCCCAGTTTCTGGTGAGGAGCGATTGGTTGATGAAGTCAGGAGCTTGCGAGGGAAACAGGGGGAGAATAACGAAGAAGATGAGAACGAGGGTGGCTTTGTAGAGGAAATGGTAATAAAACTTATTTGGGTCTTGTTGGTTGTGTTGAAGGGGTAACTTTTGTTGCTTGGTGGCTTGGATTGCAGCAGCCATTGAAGAATGATGAGAGAGTGTATGGTGAGAGGTGGAGAAGAAGGGGAAGAGAGTTACTTGGAAGAAGAGGTTAAGGAAAAGAAGAAAGAAAAAGATGATAACGTGAAGGTGCAGCGTCAAAGACAAAATGTGAAGCGTAGCCTCACCTTTATTCTGTTTGGCATGTTACCTTTTGGCCCTTTCGGTTCTAAGACCAATATGCTTTGCCTCCCCCTGCAATCTCAGTCAGTAACATGAAAGTTCTACATGTTCCAATTTGGACAACTACTATGTATCACTTTCTTCAACTTCATACCTAAGTTGCTACAACGAATTGTGAAAATTAATCCAAAAATGATAGAACATTAGAGATATTTTTTAATACTAATTCATGTTATTTATTTCGCGACAACGCTTATTAAATGATGATGTGATTACTATTTAACCTCTTCATTATTCATTAATTGTTATTAAGATTTAATATTCCCACCATCTTAAAATTAAAAATGTTTTCATTCTATTTCCCTCAAAAAAATTGTTTTCATTGTAAAAGCTTATGTAATTTCTCACAATTTTTCATATAACAAACATTTTAAATTTCAAAAACTTCTGATTCTTAATTTAAGAAAATTTTACACTCAGTTGAAGCTTTGTTTTTTCTTCAAAATTTTCTAGGCTCTTCAATTTTCCTCTAATTCCCAACTTTAGTTTACGTGCATTTTTAATCTTCTCAAAACCAGCAACGCCTTGAGAGTGATTTGGGTTTGTTTGCACTTTATCGAGTCACACCTCCTAGAGGGTATATCTCAGCTCCAACATGTGTTGATACTTTTTTTTCTCGCCTAGTGTTAGTTATAATAGTTTTGGGCCTTAGTCCCTCATGCTACCGAAACAAAAAAACTCAATCGATACCTTTCTTAGCTTAATAGCTTCCCTTTGGTTCTAGAAACTTTCATTTTCGTGGAAGTGCATATCTTATATATTTTACATTAAGAGCAAGAAATAGTGAAATTTTGGCACATGGAGCTATATGCTCAACTCAAATGACCTTTGATTGGTTGATCGAATAAAACTAATCGTAGAGAGATTGAAATGAAAACAACAACTTGTTCAGGTGATGGTCCATAACCCTAAAGCGGAATTGGAAGAACATATGCACACGGTCCATAAACATCGAATCGATTTGCCTACATCTAATAACAGTTGCATAACTCATTGACGACCACCTATAAAGAAAAGGGACAACTTTGGAATAGAAAAATAAAATAAAAATGCAAGGTGCTAATTACTAGCGTTGGAATTAGTCATGATTCCCTTCTTGCACTCCAACCATGGCTTTCATTTGGATGGAGGCTATTGGATTTATGTGAGCCAAGTTACACAATGTGTGTTTATACTTTCTTCCGGAGACCTTTTTTAAGGGATATTTATAACAAAAAAAAAAAAACTAATGAGACATCAATGTAATCTATATAAAAGATTGATATATTTTATTTAAAATTATAATAGATTTTTTTCATATATTATTACAATTTTTTATTTTTATTCAATATGGAACTTAAAATATTATTTGAATTTCTAAACACTAAGAACAAATCAGTGATTAATCTATCAATAATATAATAAAAGATATAAGTTTAGAAAACTTTTATTACGCATGAATCATGAGTTATTTAAAAATTAATATACCAATTTATCAATAAACTCTACAGTGAAGTTTTATTTTAATTAATATGTTGTTTTGAATATAAAAGAAGTAGATCTACGTTAAGGTTTGTTCTTATACTTTATCTATTATTTTTGGCTGCTGTTGGATTCTCTTAAAGTTTACGCAGTGACTCAAAATGTTCCCTTAAAGGTTACGCAGTGACTCAATATGGATGCAAAAGTAGCTGGAATAATAAGCTGATCTCAGTAAGGGATTTGATTAAATGATGCACACACACATTGAAAAGAGAGAAATCTCTTCTCTTGTCAATGTTTGATGATTCAACAATGGTGACTTGTTCCATTAGTGTAATTTTCCACTTTATCAAAGCTGCTATAACTTTCCATTGCCTTTTAAATATTTCGGGGCATAGTTCTTTGTAAGTGAAAGACAACAAAGAAAGTTAGGAGTGACGAAGAACAGTGGATCATTCATAAATTGTTTAATCATGTTTACTTTTTTAAATCGAAATACTTCTAAATTAATTTTTTTAAGACATCAATATACTACTTCACTTATTTATTTTTTTATGGAATGTAAGTTTAAATTAGCTTTTACATTAATATAGAAACATTTCTATTATTTTTTTTTCTTTAATTTTGATTTTTAATTCATACAAATTTTTTTTTTTTAGAATTAATGAACATGAGAGGGAGGGAATACGTTTGGAACAGTTGTTGGTAATGAATCTGATTCCTGTCCATCTGCGTTTGAATATTTCTAATTCTGAGAATAGAAATGGGTTAAGTTAGATGCTCTTCACCGCCAAACCAAGAAAACTCAATCAATAAGGAATATTAAGTGACACATATCGATACCAAAACAATTTTGAGCAAAAAACAACATACTTCATGTGGCTGCTTGAGTTTTCTTTTGCTTGACCCAAATTGTTTTATTTGGGGTTGGTCATATAGAAAACATAACAATAAAATAAGTCACATTTCATATTAAGTTGTTTGTTTGGATTGAAGTGGGGATTTTCCGGGATTTATAAGATTATTTGAATCGAGTAAAAAATAATAAATTTTAAAAAGATTTGAGTAAATTTATTGTAGCTGAAGAAATTTAATATACAAAAATAAAATAATAATATTTTTAGTGTAATAATAAAATTATGATTATGAGATAAAATGAGATATTTATGAAAAAAGTTAATAAAGATAATTGATATATTTTTAACTCAATTATCTACTTTTTTATCATTTAAATTTGTGAGGATGTAGGATCCACTCTCTACCAATCCAAATTCACTTAAATACATAAACAAACCAAGAGATATTTCCACAATTTTTTTTTTCTTCAAATCCTCTACCATAATAAATCAACATAAACAAATGAAGTAAATTATAAATATGTTGGGACGAATCTATTTTCTACGTAAATTAATAAATATAGTGGAAGATTAATTGATTAAACTAATGAAAAAAGTATTTCTTATAACAAATATTTAAATAAAAATAAGGATTAAAATTTTTATGATTAGTTACATTTTTAATCTATTTGAAAATCCTTTCCAATCTTGTTTTACGTGAATCAACCTTATGATTTATGATTTTTAAGTAATTATGATTTATTTGGAGTATTTATAAATTTTTATTATTTTGATGATTAATTTGGATATAAAAAATAATATAAAGTTATAGTTACTGGATAAGTAAGCATATAGCTGTAAATGATATCGGTAAATTATATTGTATCACTAAATATTAAAGAATTTTTTTATATAAAATAATCAATACGTTAAATAGAATAGTTGATGATATTGATTTCTAATTTTGTATTTTTTTTATTTAATAAATCAGAAATACTTTATGACTAGAAAATGTTTATTTTTATTTTTTATATTTTAAAAACGAATTAGACTCTGTATAAGATTACATAAACCATCAATAGTGTAAAGAGAAAATTAATAATAATTTTTCATTAATTATATTTAAGAAAATAAAATAAAGATATAATTATAAGAATAAAAAGATAAAATATTAAAATAAATAAAACATTAAGCGATGAAAAATAATAACAGTTACAAAGAAATCTCTTTTACATATTGTTGTTATACACAACTCATTCTACGTGTGATAACATAAACTTATAATTCAATAATTGATTCACATAATTCCATTTTTATAACTAATTGAAAATGTAGTATCTGATAAAAATTACATCAATATAATTTTACTTCTTGTCCATATTATATGTTATACATATATTTGTCCAATATATTTCAGAATTAATTTAACTATATTATAAATTAGTTAATATAAAATATTTAATTAACAATTATTTAAAAATATAAGACCTAATAATTTGACTATCTTTTATTATATTTTTTTATTATATTTAATTATATACAAGATTTAACATAATTAATTTTTTAATCCATTAAATACAATTATTAAAATTTCTGTAAAAAGACTTCCATAATTCATTTCAATTATCTCAACCATAATAATTATTTATTTGTTCACTATTTACATATTATCATATTCAACCTATCAATTATGAAAAAAAAAAAAAACAATTACTCTCTATACATTTCTCGCGACACGGTTTAGGCAAATTTTGACAGAATAAATTTCTGTTAAAATTACAGATTTTTGAATTCCCTGATAAAAAAAGAAAAGAAAAGAAAAAACTATCAGAATTTATTTGTGCAGCTAGGGTGTTTTCTCCATAGTAACAAATTAAATTTAGTCATTTTTGTATTTGTAACAATTCGTGCATAAATCTTTGTATAAATAGCAATTTGAAAAATAAAATATGAAATTAGATGCCTCGTTTTATCTTTTAATAGTGAAAGTTTTCCCTTTCTGTCCATAAGGTAAGATTTATACCCTGTAAACAATATCTGTAAACAATATCTCTAATGACAAATTTGGAAAAATTAACTTTAATGACATTTTTTAGATTTTCATTCTAACCAAAATACAAAGAAAACTTTTGAAATAATTATTGTAGATATATATAGTTATATTATTTATCACAATATGTATCTTAACTCGTCGTATTCAACCAATAATAAAAGTTTATGATCATAAAATATAATAAAAATAGTTTAAAATTAAATAACTCAATATTATCTCTTAAAATGTTAAAGTATTGATTATTTTTTAGAAACTAATTTTTTCAAAGAGATTGATTAAATATTATTATATTGTATTTTGATACAAATAAATAGTATTTTTAACCCACAATAAAAAATAATTTTTTATCCAAAACAAATGCTAGAAAGAAATTAAACTTTAATTCTAATATTATGTTAAAATTTAAATATAAAATTAATTGATAATATGTATAATAATATTAAATTATATCACGTGATACTAGGCAAGTGATGAGAGACTTTTATCAGAAATTGATTAAAATATTATTTCTTAATTGTTATTAAGAATGACAAAATAAGTTATTCTAATAAATCAATTTATCATTGTAAATATGACATGAGAGTGATACTTTTATATGGTTAACCCACTCTAATCTATCTTGCTAACCCACTCTAGCTTGCTTCACCAATTTTTCTAACTTGCTTGGTTAATAAAAAATTACTTTAATTGAGATATGAATATATATATATATATATATATATATATATATATATATATATATATAACTTATAAATGATGAAAAAATTATTATAATTTATGAAACAAATAATAAAAAAGTTTTCACTCATTTACGGTAAGCACTCTCATAACTTAAACATAATTTTCTCTCTCCTATCTTTCTTTATCATTATTATAAAATAATTATGAAATTTTACTAAATAAAAAAATATTATATAATTTTTATTTTAGATGTTTGAATTTTTCAATATAATAAAACAGTTTCCAAATTTTGAAATGTATTTATTAATATTTATTATTATATGAAAATTATCTTGATAGTTCTAAATTTTAATTTTTTAATGCAACATGACAACACATACTGTTAACATAAGAGTATAGGTTCTTCATACATATAAGTGATACTTTTATTAATAAGCTTATTACAAAAATAATTTTAATAGGTCTATTCATCCACCCTCTCACTTACTTTTTATGGAACAAGTTAAGGTCTATAATATATTTTTATTATAATGGGTCAATTTATCCATTTTTTTCTTTTAGAGACTAAAGATGAAAGTAAGAATTTAAAAGAATTATATTCATAAGTTAATTTTTTTTATATTAAAATAAATAATTTTTATTTTTTATTTTAAAAAAGTACATATTATTTTTTAATTTTGATTTCCTTAATTTTAGGAATTGACTCATTTATAAGTAAAATAATTAAAATGAGACCGAATAACTTGTTTTACTATTTTTAATTATCACTTATTTCCATATTTAAATGAAAATAAAGTTGCATTTGATAATTATTTATTATTATTTTTAAATAAGAGTTAGTTAATGTCATAAATATGATATAATATATAAATATTATTTTATATATAATATATATTTTCAAACCAAAAGAAATAAAATATAAGTTTCAAATCATTTAACTTTATTCCTTTAAGTGTATGGTTGAATAAGTATTTATAAAATTAAATTTTAGATGATTAATTACAATTAAAAGTAAGTTGAATTTAAATTAAATGATTATATTAGTATTGAAAATAATTGTATAGAACAAATTAGTTAGTTTTTTAGAGATGTGAAACTAGGTTTAGTTTGATAGAACACACATTTGGATAAGTAGGTTATTAGCACATTAAAGCTCACCAATATATCACTCTAAACGTGTGTAGGCCCAAAAAAGAAGTCATTTGAAAATGGTGAGAACTTACACATATATAATTTTATTAACACACGTGAACACGTCATTCGTATGATAAATTTTTTAATAATATATTATCATTCTATATCATGAATTGAGTTGAATAATTCTTATTTTATCAATATAATACGGACAAAGGAGCTTGAAAAATATGTTTTTATTGATAAGATCTTCCAATAAACTATATACGCAAGAAAATAAGTCAATTTGTTGATGAAAGGTTTAGAAAGGCACGGGTTAGTTGATTCACTCCTAACTTTGTGTTTTTATGATTTGTAAATAGAATTTGAGACTAGACTTCCACAAGCGAGATCATTTGTTGCATCTTGTATTGGGAAGTTGAATTAACTCAAACGAATTTGGCATAGGTTACTTGGGTGGACACAGTTGGTTGAAAAAAAAAGGATAGACTATATGGGACTAGACAACTTGGTCATGATTACCATGGTGGGTTTGATAGCGTCAAACATCAAACTCCACCATTTAGCTCCTCAATATATTTAAAAGATATGAATTTGTTAGAAAAGTAGGTCGATATCAAGAGGGGGTGAATTGATCTTTGAAAGATTTTTGCAAATTACAGATTATCTATTTCAAAGATTAAGAGTTCTGATCAATTATTGAATCAAACAAAGCAAACAATCAAAGTAAAGGCAGTGACGAAATTAAAGAGAGAAAGGTTTAGAAGGATACAACCAAGACTTATACTTGGTTCAGCCCAATCTCATGGTTACGTCCGAGTTTTCGACCAAATTCTAGTTGGGTTCTACTAGATTGAATGTTTTACATATTACAATTCCAATCACACACCCAATCTACCACAAGAACCAAAATTTCAGTTCTTGCACCTAAACATTCACCAATAACCAACTTCCAGTTCTTGAACAACCCTACAGCCAAATTCCAGCTATAGAAACCAAGTGCCTATGCTTCCATGCACCCACAATACAGTAAAGAAAAGTAAAGAAACAAAGAGAAGAAACTAGAACACTCAAACCAGGTTTATGCATCTACGTAGAATGAGTTTCTTCACAAAAAGAATGCAAAATTTGCCTCAAGAAAGAGCTACGAAAAACTTCACAAAACTTGCGCGATTCTCTCTTGAAAGTAGCACTTATGATTGTTTGATTGATTGCTCAAATGTGTGTTTTAAAAGACTCAAGAAATCCTATTTTTATAGAGGATTTTTCAAACTGTCTGGTTTAATTAATTTGTTAAAACAATCTTTTAATCTGTTAAAAGTCTTGAATTAATATGTTAAAACTTCTTTTAATATGTTAAAATGTTCTTGATCATTTTCCAGATTTGTTTTAACTGATATGACAACATTTATATCAATTAAAACACTTTGTAAAAAATCCTTCAAATTGTTTTAATCGATTAATTCGCCTTTTAATCGATTAAAATATCGCCAAAAAGTTTTCATAAAACTTTCTAAGTGATTTTAACTGATAACAATCTGTTTTAATCGATTAAAACACTTTGGAAGAAATCTCTTAGTTATTTCAATCGATTATTTCGTATTTTAATCGATTAGAATTCCGCAAAAAGTTTCCTAAAACTTCCTAAGTTATTTTAACTGATAAGAGACTTGTTTTAATCGATTAAAACATTTTGAAAAAATCTCTTAGTTGTTTTAATCGATTAATTCACATTTGTATCGATTAAAATACCGACATAACATCTTTCAAAGTACTTCAAGTTATTTTACTCGATTATTTTGAGTTTGTATCGATTAAAATACTTGACGTAACATCTTTCAAAATACTTCAAGTTATTTTAATCGATTATTTCGAGTTTGTATCGATTAAAATTCTCGTAACACTTTTCAAAACATCTTAAGTCATTTTAATCTATTATTTCAATTCTACATCGGTTAAAATATCTGGCAGAAGGTTTTCAAAAATTCTTTTAACGAAAACAATCGATTATTTCGAAGACATATCGGTTAAAAACTTGTTATAAAAGTGTTAAGAACATTTTAACTGATAAAACTCATATAAATATCAGTTAAAACAGTTTACTTAAAAGTCATTTAACAAATTACTTTGTTATTAACAGTTTAATCACGTTTTAGAGGCATTTGCAAAATCTTTTAAATGAAGAAACCTCATGCAACAGAGAGATAAGAATGATTATACCTAAGTAAAAGTGCAGACTCACTAATCACTCTACCCTTTTATCTAAGTGACCTTTGACTTCACCATAATAGCTTTGACTTCATTTTGACTTCATCAAATCAACAAGATCTTTGTTTAAATGATTTAATAATATCTTCATCACTTTCAAAATTAGCTTAAACAACGAGTTATCGACACAAGAAGAAGAGATTCATCGAACAAGGGAGCATAATGAGCGACTAGAGAATCCATTTCGAGAGTTTCAATCACTCTTGGATGCGGTAGTTCACTTCCTACCCTCTTAGTGCACAATCCCTCTTTCAACACATCAACAAAGTCATGATAGTCAACAACACGAACCTCAAAAAGAACAAGACAACCAACAACAACAAAATAACCCAAAACAATAAGACAACACACATTAACAACATTCTCTCGACTATTCCCTATATTAGTGTAAACACCTCATTTTTTCCTATAAAAATAGATAAAATAAATGAAAATTTCAAATAGATCAAAATAATAAAAAAAGGAAAGAAAGAAAAACATCCATTTCCTGTATCCATGGAAATCGGTCCCATGTTCATGCTTCACCACCTCTGCTACACTGCTCTAGCCACCTTTGCTAGCCACCAACACGCAACCCTGCTCCAGCCACTAACACAACCTTACATGTTACGAAAGATTGGACTCATCAATAGGTAATGGTTTCTTTATATATTGAAAAATAATTTCAACAAAAGGGGGATTTGATGAACACATTTAAAACAAAACAATAATAATAACAAATAAAAATCCACCATCATAAAACATAGCAACACTATCAACACATCAACACAATCATAAATTCACAACAAATCAACAATCCACAATTAACACAACAACATAAACATCAATCCACAACAAATCAACAATCCACAAATCTGAAAGAAATTTCCATATAGCATGTGTTTATGTATTATAATGTTTGTATTTGTTACTTCTACATGTTATCTTTGTTGTATGATTATTGTAACTCTAATCAATTATTTCCCAGATTGTACATATTTTAAATAAAAAATAAAAATAAAAATACGCTTATCTTTGCCGTTGATAATCACTAAGCTCATCACACCTCCACCGTAACCTTCACTCGCATCCAAATCTCTAACATCTCATTTTCAGCTCATTCGCTCTCCTCACCATAACACCAACTCCAACCATACGCTTCCTCACCATCACACCAACTCCGACCACAATGAACCTAATTGTAAACGTCACCCTCAAAGGTACTCTTAGCCATGGTCACTCCACCTCCATAATGACCCATCCTCGTCTCTCTCATAACGAACCACCACGACTCACTTCCTAACTCTAACTGCTTCCTCACTGCCTCACCCGAACCTATCTTCGTGAGCCACCGCATCTTCACCATACCCTACACAATGAGCCACTTCTTTTAGTCTCCGCACCATTGAACGTCCCCTACAACCTAGACTCAACCTCACCTCCACCTCACATTCGAACCCTGGCCATTACAACCTCACCCAACGAGTTACACCTCACTTCCGCAAAACCTCCAATCAATCTCCTTGTCCCCAAGCCGCACGTCCCTCGCTCCTCCATCACGGCTCGCGTTGCCACCATGAGTCCCACCGCTAGTCACTCATTCTCATCTCAACCCTGTCTCACCTCCTGTGGCCCTAGTATTAGGATTAGGATAAAATATAAGTTTAAAAGGAATATGAGTTGAGAAGGAGATGTGGTCTTAAGAGATGCATGACCCAAAATCTGTTTAGGGGTGAAAATAGTAAAAACCGACTTTTAATAGTGAAGCGAATTAATCTTGAGTCTAACAGGAGATTTTCGAGTCAGTGGTCTAAGTTAGATTAAAAAAAACAATTTCTATTCGGGTTTGGGAGATGAACATAACAAAAATAAGCTTTAAATATTAAACAAATATGAAAGAATTTGTATTTTTATGAGTTATTGTGTTTAATATTGTTTGTTTGTTTTATTTTATTAAACTAGACAACATAACAAAAAATAAGTTACAAATAATAATGAGTAGAGTTTATTATTATTATTATTATTATTTTATCCAAATTTCAAATAAAAATGATTCTATTTATTTTCTTAAAAATAATTTAAATTAGTATATCATTATTAATATATTGACAATTAAATTTCAATAACATGCAATACTATTGTTATTAGAGTAGTAACAAAATATTTCACATGTAATTTGGTTACTATAAAATTATAATAATAAATTAAAATATACTTTTGACTTGATGGTAATAAAATACTTTTAAAAAATATATATTTTTAATCCAATTAAAAATTACAAGTATAATGATTTAAATAATTAAATTACTTTAGATGCACTTTTTGATTTTATTATTACTCAAATTATAAAAATGATAATCACTTTAGTTGTACTTCTAATTAATTATTACATAGTTAGTCAACTTTAAAATAATTTGAAGCACATGTTTAACTTAGTAACACATATAGATAGATTAAAATAAATTATTCAAAAATATTTTTAAAAAAGAACTACGTTATTTTAATTTTCCATTGCACCTGAAGATACATAAGAAAATAAAAATAATCTCTATTGAGCTAAAAATATAAAAATATATATAATCTTTTATTTTTAATAATAATATTTAATAGATATATAATTTTAAAGGATAAAATAAATAACTTCAAAATATTTAACTTTTTCATATCTAATTAAAGATAACCGTTGTTAGAACACATGTTGTAGGCTATTAATACTTTTTATACACATAATCGACTTTTGAATACAACTTTTGTTTCGCATACCAACTTTTTTTTCTTTTGAAGGTTTTTCCAATATTTTCTTTGAAATAATTATTGGTGGTGACTCTATTTTTTTCTTTCATTTAAAAATTTAATAATGTCGTCAAGTCACGATTTTGATTGTGATAATTAGTATTTGTTCAAATAATAAAAATATTTATATTTGAGTTTATAATTATTTCTTCACACTTTATAACTATAATTAGACTTTATATTTTATGAATAATTTATATTATATATGATATTAATGATGCTTGTATTATATTTACATTTAATTTCGATTATATTTTGTTAAAATGTCTTAATTGGTATTGGATCTATTGTAGTGGAATTGCATCTAATCATGTATATGTATATATATGTTTTATGTAAGGTTTGGTGATATGAATCTGAATAGCATAAGGGATGATTTATGATCTTTAGGATTAGAACCTTGTAGGAAATTTAGGAATTTAGTGATAAGGTGAAAGGAAATAATCATTTTTCCCAAGGGAGGCAACTCACGAAAGATGTGAAAGTCCTTTGATACGGTCAAGTGTTCTTGAATCACTCAAAAATTTAGGAGGATCACTCTCACCAAGATAAAAGAGTTAAACTCTAATATTTTTAAATAAAATTCATCTTGTTATATTTGATAAAAATATGATTCCGCTTATATAAAAGTTTTGCCATCAAAATTACAAAGATTTAATAAAATAAAATAAATGCTAATAATGATTCATTAACCTAAGAATTGAAAACTACTTAATGGAGACAAATAAAGGCTAATAATGATCCATTAACCTAGGAATCAATACTACTTAATGACTTATTGTAACTCGAAATTGTGACAATCAAAAGTCAATCAGCCTATGCACACTCTTGGTCTCCCAAAGACTGATGACTAAGTTTCCAATTGAGCCCTTATTACAACTTGTAATAAAATCAAACTATAGTCCATTAATTGATTAATCCAAAACACAATTTGGTCAACCAACAATACTTGTTGAAGAACTTCATTTCCTTCCCTTGCTCTAGCCTTTGTCATAGGTCATGTCCACATCATTTTCTCCTTCTTGAAAAAGATTTGTCCTTAAATTGGATTCGTCATCTATATAAAAAAAGATAAGTATGACAAATTGAATGTAGAACTAACATTATACTCACTTTTTGTAGTTAAATAGCTCTCTCTCACTTCAAGTGTTTCACTCTTCTTTTGATCACTCTTTTTCTTCTTTAGTGTTTCACTAATGCTTTCTTTTTCTCTCTTTTCTTGAAGAAGTTTTTCTCTCATTTTCTTTTTATCCTCACACACTTCTTGTAGACTCAAAGGTTTGAGCACAATCTTCTTGTCTTGGTACATGAAAGAGATCTTGTTGGTGAACCCTTTATAATGGACTCTTTTATCAAATTGTCACAGTCTCCTCAAAAGTAAGTGACTGAACTCCATAGGAACAACATCACAAAGTAACTTATCATTGTATTTTCCAATGGAAATGTTCACTTCAACTTACTTCCTCACTTGCACCTCTCCATCCTTACTAAGCCATTGAAGTTTATAAGGCCTAGGATGTGGTTTAGTAGGTAAATTTAGCTTTGACACTAATCTAGCACTAGCAACATTGGTGCAACTACCTCCATCTATGATCATCATGCACACCTTGTCCTTGATTAAACATCTAGTGTGAAAGATGTTTTTTCTTTGGCTTTTTTCCATAGGCTTCAATTGGTCATCAAATAATCGCCTAATCATCAATAAATCTCCCTTTGGAATCTCCTCCTCCTCTTTAACCTCGGATTCACTTTTATATTCTCCCTCTCTAAGAACCATATACCTTTTGTTAGGGCACTCATAAGCATAGTGTCCTAGACCTTGACATTTGAGACACTTCACATCTCTACTTCTTTTAGAGGTTTGTTCTTCAGACTTTGAAGGAGTCTTTGTAGGAATAGGTGTTGGACTACTAGAAGTAACAACCCCATCTTTCTTGCCTTTGTCCTTCCAACTTGAAGATCCAAAGTTGGTAGAACTCTTCTCGACCACTTATTTTCTTTTGAGTTGTTGTTCCACTTGAATTGCTTTATGAAGTAAATCCTCCATATCAACAAACTCTTGCAACTCAACAATATCACGTATATCAATATTCAAACTACCAATAAATCGGATCATAGTTACCTCTTCATCTTCTTCAATCTTTGCTTGAATCATGAACATGTTTAATTCCTTGAAATACTCCTCGACCCCCTTGTTGCTTTGAGTAAGTTTTTGGAGTTTAAATTCCATGTCCCTTGAATAACTAGCCGACACATACCGCTTTCTCATGATCCTTCTTATCCCAATCCATGTATCAATCATTGACTATACATTTCTACCTTTCTCCTTTTGTAGCTTGTTCCACCAAACAAAAGCATAGTTAAAAAATTTCGTGATTTCAAGTCTCACCTTTTGGGTCTCCTCATAATTGTTGCATGAGAAAACATGTTTTATTTTCATCTCCCACTCCAAGTATGCCTCCGGATCACTTTTTCCTTTGAATCGAGGAATGTTAAGCTTGACTCCTTCAAGGCTACTTGGTCTTGTTACTCCATCATTCCTTCCTCTATTTCTCCTTTCTTCTTCATCTTTGGGATCTTTATTTTCCAACCTGGTTCAATCTTTAATAGAGTTCATTGTTATGTCGTATCATTAATCCTTCTAAATGTTGTACCAATACCCTCATTTGAAATAGACTAATTTATGCTTCTTAATTGTAATTTTCCTCCTCCGGCATCAATTTTATGTTCAAATCCTTAAATCGGGGCTCGAATACCAACTGATATGAATCTCAATAGCACAAGGGATGACTTAGGATCTTTAAGGTTAGAACTTTGTAGGAAATTAAGGAATTTAGTGATAAGGTGAAAGAAAAGAATCACTCTTCCCAAGGGAGACAATTCACAAAGGATGTGAAAGTCCTTTGATACAACTAAGTGTTCTTGAATCAACTCAAGAATTTAGGAGAATCACTCTCACCAAGATAAAATGACTAAATCCTAATATTTTTAAATAAAATTTAACTTGTTATATTTGATAAAAATATGGCTTAGCCTATATAGAAGCTTTGTCATAAGAATTACAAAGATTCAATAAAGAAAAATAAATGCTAATAATGATTAATTAACCTAGGAATTGAAAACTACTTAATGCAAGACTAATAATGATCTATTAACCTAGGAATTGATACTACTTAATGACTTATTGTAATTGAAATTGTGACAACCAAAACTGATTATAATTTGTAATAAAACCAAACTATAATTCATTAATTGATTAATCCAAAACACAATTTGGTCAACCATCAACAATACTTGTTGAAGAACTTTCTTTGTTTCCTTTCTTCTAGCCCTTGTCATAGGTCATGTCCACGTCATTTGGGTAAGGAAAAAATACAATGATTGTTGGAAAATCTAGGACATTTATAGATGGAGTTATTGATGAAAGATTTGTTGATAAATGACACAAATAATAAATATAAGTTATTGATGGATAAATCTATCGATAATTATCAATAGATAAATCTGTCAAAAATTACTAACGGATAAATCTGTCAATAATTACCGATCGATAAATCCGTTGATAATTATCGAGTAAAATTTTTCTACTCGGGATAATTACTGGTGAACTTGTCAAATTCGTTAACACTTTTGCTAGACAACAATATTATTGACAAAATTTTCAGTAAATAATCTTTATTTTTTACCTTATTTCATGATTTCTAACGAATTATGTTCATTGATAAAACTAATGTTTTTTTAAATGTTAAAAATCTGCCAAAAATTCAATCATACTTATTTTGAGC